AATGTCAAGGGTGTTTATTTCCTAATGTCGTGTCTGTCCTAGTGGGTCTGAGGCTCTGACCGATCCCCGGGGATAGAGGAAAGGTCTGAGCGACAGAGAGATGGGGTTTCCGATGGCTTAGCTGAGCCTTGTCAAAACAAGATTACCAGTCTGTTCAAAACACTCAAAAGTCGTGTTTGCTCGAGGAAATCAACACCGAACTTTACTAGAAGGAAAAAAATACTCCAAATTAAAAGGTTTTTACGAATGCATTAAATACAGTTGGTTGGAGTTATTACCACTTACTACATGTAACACATTTCACACTGTACACCGGGATTTGAGCAACTGTAAATAATATATTGCTTAGTGCAGCTTTGAATTTGAATCATCCAAGTTTTTTGGGGCACAACAAACCAATAAAAGTGCCTTAAAGGTCACAAGTCTGCAACGAATATGGTTAAAAATTACAATGACGTATACTTTTGATATGGAAAAGTTTAGCAGGAAATGTAATAACCAGGATCAAATTCTATTCAAACATATTGAGCATATATAGGCACATTTGTTAAAATTACGCTAAATATATTGCTCCTTGATAATACTTTTTTTACTTGTATATTTGCTCTAAACTCTTTAAAACTATCCTAACCAAGTGTTTAAGTAGCCTGAACAGTATGCACACCGCTGATTGTTCTATGACTTTTCAGGAAAGGAAAACATTTTGCCATTGAACATTCCCGAAGCACCTTTTATGTTTGCTTCAAAACATATTTGGAAGAGCGAATCAGTAGTATATATTTCCCCCTGTCAAGGAGGTTACTTATTTGGCTTGGTTTGTTGTGCGTTTGTCGACATTTACTGAAAAAACTACAGGCACAATCTTCATGAGACTTGTTGAACGGGTGTAGCATTGCCCTTACACTATATCTCCCATTACATTTTGGATCCTTATCACGGGGCGGATGCACGCATTATTTTTCTCTTATTTTGAACGGCCTTGGCAGAGGTCTACACTCTGAGAGCGCTTCTAGTTTGATCTGTTTTCAGTTTATGGTGCTGTGGGATAAGGAAGGTGTAGTGAAAACAGATCATCCATCAAAATGATATACAATCTCGACGGCGTGTTTTATTTGATCATATTTTTCATCTTGGCTATAGCTGAATGTTGTCTATGTAAAATATAGATTGTACATAACTGGTGAGGCTCAGCACTGTTTAGCTTCACTTCAGTAAATCTGTTCTGGCCTACAGTCAGCACAAGTGTGATGCATGGGCTCGGATCTCCTGTGCATCCTTATTAAGTGGCTGCTGTACGAGCCAGAGGGGGGGGGGGGCATGGGGAACAGGGTGAAAGAAAGACAGTAAATATATGATTTCCAAGAAACAAGGAACCATTTCTCCATCTTTTCAGGGAATTTCAGGATGGGATTACTGCTCACTCAAGTGTCTCAAGGCTTAACATACCAAACAGGTACCGTCCGTTTCCCAGAGGCGCCGCCCAGCATTATACCAAAGCAGCATGTCAAATAATCCTTCTTACTGCTGCATTAAATAAAGGTAAAATAAAAAATAAATTAAAATGAAAAAGTCTTGACACAGTGCACTTCAGCGCTGCATTTAGCCTAATCCTAAACTTCGCCCAGACTCGAGCACTACAAGACTTTCCCATCGATTTCACGAGGAAAACGTAATTTGCCCATTGCCTCGCCTAGCTGGAGGAGAAAGTGCATTCTGTCTAATAGTCCCAAGATCTTTATCACTCTCCATCTTTCTTTCTCTAAATCTTCACTGCAGTAAATCAGGGGAGATATAGCGGGGTGGCCCAGCCCAGCAGATCACATACTGGGCTATAAAGCATCGCAGGCCATCGATTGGTGCTCTTGCAGTGCAGATAACAGTCAGAATATGGGGTGATAATGTCTGAATGCTGCTGATGGTGGTCTGTCCAAATGGGCCCATTATGCAGCCTCAGTTATACGATACCACAAGCATCCTCTCTCCACTCCAAATGATTCTCTTTGCTCTTTACAGTAAGTCACACGTTTGGTAACACTTGCTATGGAGTCCATACCTATAACGCGTCATTATAGCACTTTACTGTATAATTAAACAATATCACACAATAGATTATGATAAGTCTGGGACTGATGCCAAACAGTAAACATTTCCCTGCACACTAGCTTGCTTTTTTGGGACCCGGAGGGCAGCCACTTTATATAATGTACATTTATTTGTATGTTTTGTGGATATAATGTTGCTTTTGTAGAAATGCGCAATTGTACCTTGCCCCATTTTCTTCTCCTCCATCCAGTAACTTTTAGCCATTAGCCTTTTAGCTTCCATACATGCAAGTATTTAAAGTCTTTATGTTTCCCAACTTATTATTAATGAATCAAAACTCACATTGAAGTTTCTGATTCAATCTACAGCTTTTAAGTCATGCCCACTCACTGGATATTTTTGTAATACATTACACATGTTTACGAGTGCTTATAACTCAAATTAAAAAGTGCTGTAAGAAGATTACAACTTAATTTACAGTATGTTTAAAATGCAATATAGACATGGGCTTCGTGTAACGTCTTTTTAAAAAACAAGAGCAACTGAAACCGATATATTGTGATAATCCTTAGGTCTCTCTGAATGTCTGCATAGTCTCAGTGGGTTAGAGTCATTTCCAGTACATGAACCTGAAAAACAAGTCTCCACTGAATGTGCTTTTTTTTCAGATTTCTTAGATTTCATTATCATCAGAATGGCTCTCCGTTTCTCCTCTCCACAATGCAACAACTCCCCTGTGGACCGTTATAGCTGCTTGAAGAATATAAAAGTTTTTTTTCTTGCGTAATATAGATTTTCTTTCCCTGACATGCTTGCTAATGCTTTGCTTCCGCCAGACAGAATAACATCCATTTAATCCACTGGCCCTGCAGAACTCCGCTCTCTTGTCTGCAGCATTTCTTCACTGAGCCAAAGCCTTTACCACGGAGAGATGGTACGGTATTATCGAAAGTGAAAGAATCCTAGTCAGCCCGGAAAGGTCAGGCCCCTCGCACCGACTACACAACGCAGACTCTGAGGAGTGCAGGAAGTTCACAGCGAGAGAGCACAGCTTTCCTTCTGCAATTTGAGGCGTCTCGGCGTTGCATCTCGTTCATTTAGATTGGATTACAAGTCGGTTAGTGGAGCTACAGAGAACAGATTGCCCTTCTTTTCACATGATGCTTTACTTCTTATGCTGCCTGCTCTCATTTACATGTGGACATCCATCACCCGGACGGTTGGTGCAGATGGATGCTTGTGTGGCTAGGAAAAAAGTGTTTTTCACGCTTTATTTAACTAGATACATTTGGCTATGGAATCATTTTTCAACACTGCTGCGCTTTGGCTCCAAGCAGCTTAATTTACAGAATATCCAGTCAGTAATGGTAGTGTAGATTTGTTGAGTTTTTTCACCCTACTACTGCTACTACAGCCTCCATTTGAAAGAAAATGAGTGGAAGAGTGTAGCATAGACCACAAAAGAACCACTTACATTTTGGAGTTAATCCGAATCAAGCGGCGTGTACAGTATATATGAATACATTTTCACAGCGATTTCCTGTACTGTGTTACATAGGTTCAAGAGGGAGTTACATTTTTTTTTATTTGTTGACATTCTGCAAACGTTTCACAATGTTTTAAGTGGTTATTCCATTAGCAAGTGGCTGGCTTTGTCATTCAGGTATGAGGACGTGTTTCAATTCTCCAGCAAATGTCAACCTCAAAAACATAAATTATGTAGATATGTCGGTTGAGCTACATACCAGATTCTATTTACACTTATCCAGCACATTCCCTATCTAGCAACCACACTTCCATTGTGCACACACAAAAAACAATATTATCTCAAATTGAATCCCAACTTTTCCTTCATATGGGGGTGAATGGAGCACACATCAGACATTCAGGCATCAGGCTGTTTGTCGCTGGTGATGCAACTCAAAAAATCGAATAAATTCATTGATTTATAGCGCAGGTGAACCCCTTTAGCAACCAACCAATGCACACACACCTTAACTGTAGGTGACCATTATTATTTTACTGTAGCACACTTCCAAAAACTGCTAATTTGCTCTATTTTCTTGACAGGGAGAAACCCTTCTCTTCCCTTGAAACACAAAAATAACAACTCACGCTGACTATAAAACATTTTACTCTCAGTAAAACTACAGAGAAACCTGCAGTAAAGCTGCTGCTCTCAGATTTCACTCGGAGCTATTTGTGAGAGGCACAGGGAGGCTGCGGCGCAATTAGGTGTTCAAGTGTTGATGCAGAGCCAGTAGAGTACTTTCCAGTAAATCCTCTCAGAGTCCAGGGTGCTGTAATCGCTGCCTCCCATTGCTGATGGGAAATGCTTCACTTGTTGCTGGGCTCTCCGTCTGTTTTAGCCGTTTCTCTCTCTGCTCCCTGACCCCTGTGGTCTGCAGCGTTCACCCCACAGAGACACACACAGTCCAGACTTCACATTCCCCCTCGCTGTTTTATTACACGAGGTGGATATTAGCATAAAGCTGAGCCTGGCCTTAATTAATGCAGGATCACGAAAGGCTCCGTTACAATGCAGAGACTGCCTCTGGTGGCTCTTTAGCTCTCACTTTTCAAAGGCTATGTCAGCAGTTATTCTTAGTGCCAAGTCTTTTTGCCAAGTCATGATCTACAGTGTAATATTGTGGCACAGTGCTGTGACATCAAGTTTATATGAAAATCTATTAAAAGAAAAGACATTACACCCTGATGGACTGACGAATGTGTTGTTCTCATGTTTATATAATGTTTTATTATCCTTTTGACTTACATTGATTTAGCTTATATCTTATTTTAACATGTTTTTTCACATTTATTCTATTTTATTTTATGAATCCTTTATTCTAAAATGGAACAACTGTCACAAAACTCAATTTCCCCTCCAGGGTAAATTCATATTTCTGATTAAGAACTTCATTTCTTCTCTCCCTTTTCTGTGTTTCTCCCCCCAGGTCAGGAGTGGCCATGCCATTTGGCTGTTTAACAATCGGGGAAAAGAAGGATTATAACAATCCTTCGGAGGTGACGGATAAATATGACTTGGGTCAGATTGTTAAGTCGTGAGTATCTTCTTCGTTATCTCTGATCCAAACCTTTGTAATATGTGTGTTACTCAAAGTGATTTCACCTCCAATGCCTTGATATGCTCATTTCTCAGGGAGGAGTTCTGTGAGATATTCAGAGCCAAGGACAAAAATACGGTTAAAATGTTTACATGTAAAAAGTTCCTGAAAAAGGACGGGAGGAAAGTCCGCAAGGCTGCGAAAAATGAGATCCTCATCCTAAAGATGTAAGTGAGTCATTGTGGATTCCTGTGTTATATGCATGATTCGTTTAGTCATGAGATGGTGAAGGTCTTTTTTCATCTTCTTTAATACTCACTTTACAGACAACATCAATTTTCTAAAAGGAAATCACAAAGAGAAAACAAACGTAGGTGCTTGCTTTAATGAGAAAAGTCAAGCGAACCTCATTTTGCTGAGTGATCACACACACTCGCTGTTTCTAAGAACCTTATTTATCTCAAATTCTCTTTCTTATCAAACTTCAGGTAAAACCCACATTAGCATAACCCGAGCCTTATCAAACAATTTGCCGCCGACAGCAGGCGAAGCGGTGGAGCAAGATGAATACGAAAGAGTGATTTCTTTATATTCAAAACATGAACTCATACTCCTCTGAAAATCACACCATTAAGACACCCCACTGCTCCTGCTTTTATCTTCATATCATCATGGGGGTTTGAGGAAATAATCGAGTATGATGACACTGTCAAAGGAGGGGAATAATTGCTGGCAAAACATTAAACTAGTCTTGAATTTATAATGCTTTGATTTAGGCATTAAAAAAGAAAAATATTCATAATGTTTTGTAGTGTTATTCGTTCAAATGAAAGAAAGGACCCACACACTGACATATCTTTGTACTGACAGTTTGGTTGCTTCACAGGCCAGAGTTTTAATGACATTGAATACAGTATAGTTTCCCAAAATTGTCCTCAAACACAAATCCTGATTGTGCCAGAAATTGGACTAAACCCAAGTTTTGATCAGGTATAGCCGAATAAAACATTACAGATCATTGTGAAAAAATGATTTTGGTGTTACGTAGTACAGATATAATATGTCCTTAGCCTACATAATTGTTTGGCTCTTGTAGTTATCTATGTACAGGACTTCTACAAATGATCACGCAAAGCTATTCTGCTGTTGAATGAAAAACATTTACGGAACAGATAGAAGCTTCAGACATTCAGGCATGGAGTATTTACTGAAGTATTTTGTGTTATAGAACAAAACAAGAACATCTCTTAAGCTTGTGTTTACCACAGACCTTATTTTATCTAAGCACAAACACATTCAACAAAATAATTGACTTCAACATGAGGGAACTGGATGTGGGAAAAATGCGAACTCATTTCATACCATTTGCTAAAATCTTCTTCCCTTGCTGCTGATGTAACGGACAGTTCGACACTGCACCTGTCAGTCATGACGCAAATAGATAGTGACGCACAAAGGTCTCACAAAGTTAATACTCCATTCACAAAGTCACACACTGACTCTTGTATGAATAAGGAGGCAATTTCAGACACAGCTTTTTCACCATTTTGAATTGTTTTAAAGAATAACCTTGAAGAAACAGGAGCCTTTCACAAACTTCCTGCGTGATCAATTGTTTGTTTTTTTCCCTTTTGGACTAAATTCATTATGAATGTTCCCAGCTGGTGCTGTGTTTGTGAAAGGCGTGATCAGCTGTTCAGCTCCATGCTGCTCCATGGCTGTCTTTATGCCCACATGAACGCATCACATGACATACATCTGGTTATCTATGGATGCACATTTGAACATATAGATCTGTGTTGTGAAATCAAACTGACCGTGCTCCCTCTCTCCGTGAGGACTGTCGTTTATTATACATGTGCATTAAAGCTTCACATTATTCCCTCCACTGAATGACTGATGCTGACATCATTCTTTCTCTCTTTGTTTCTCTCTCCGTCTTTGTGACACATCTCCTCAGGGTGAAGCATCCAAACATTCTCGCACTGGTGGATGTGTTCGAGACAAAAAAAGAGTACTTCCTCTTTCTTGAACTGTGAGTCAGATGTCTTATTAGCCAGGGGAAAGGTTCTCCGCTGTCTTTGCTGTATCTCGGGCCTGCTGAACTGTACGTGTTGATGGTAAACTCATGGGGAATGAGCTGTGTAGCCCGAGGCCCTGCAGATAGGAGAACAGCGCTGAACTCCACTCATTTGGTATTCAGATACGATCTCTGTGCTACCTGCTACATTCTCACCAGCAAGTGTTCTTGGGGGTTTTGATTTCCATGGATATACTTAATGCGAGATACTCGTCTCGTCCTTCGAGGACATTTGATTTGTAGATTCAGAAGAAAATGATCAAACACAAAGCAACCCTACGGGGAGATGATTAAAACCATTTCCCTTTAATAGGTGTGGTGTTTCGTGTACATTTTTCAAAATGTTATTCCTGGAAGTACGCAATTAACATTTTACTATAAATATACAATGTGAAATTAGAGAGGTTTTTATATTACCAGATCTGTTTCTGTGTGTCTTCCTGAATGACAGAAGCCCTGAGAGGCAAGAGAGGAAGTCAAATGAAATCAATGTTGTATTCTTCTGCTTTTATTATTATTACATTACGCTTCATTTAGCTTGATCCAAAGAGACTCACAATGTTTAAGATTTACCCCGTATGCCAATAAAGTATATTAAATACCAGTATTCCAATGAAGTATATTTAATGGAATTAAAATATATTACAATTAAAACAGCTGAAAAAAAAGGTTTTACCAGGGTACTCCAAGTGTCTTAAATTAGTTTTTCTACTGGGGAAAAAAGGTTATACCACATAAAGTCAAAGAATCTGCCCGAAAAAAATGTCAGGATATAATAACTTGTTCTTACTTTATTAGTTTTGGCAGGTGATTTTGTTTGTTGTTATATTCATTTTGGCAAAAGGCTGAAGTGCACCACTAACCCATCGATTAAATAGGACTTTGAGTGACAGATAAGAGCAGATCAAATACAATTTAAAAAGTGAACTAATGAAACTAATCAGTACTAATGAAAGTATTGTTACATAATTTGCAAACACCAAATATGTTCTTTGTGTAAAGAGTGCACAAAGGCATTAAAACTCACCTGGTAGGTAAAACATATAATCATTTTGTTCCTACAGTATTTAGGAAACTAGGTAGTGGTGCAGTTCAGCCAAGAATGTCAAAAACAAATAAAACAAAACATTTCCTGAAAGAAAATATAATTCAGTTGCCCAAACTTTTTTTTTTGTTTTCATAGATGAAATGATTTTAGAAAGACAATACTTGCAAAACTGTTATTCATCTGTTCTTAAAGTGGACCTATCATGCTATATTTGAATAATATAGTGTAGGACCATACCTATATAAAGGCATATTTATACTTTTTTTTTTTCAAAATACCAAACAGATCATGCATTTTAGCCATGCCTCATTTCGCTCAATTTGCACTTTTTTACCCCTGTTTTTGCAAGGGCTGATTCAGTGAGAACAGCACCACCTACAGGCCTGGCATATGTACTACAGCGTCTCCAGCGCTTTCGAACGGCAATGGCCGTGGCTGTCTCCTCCTGATTGGTGGAGTTGGCCCAATAGCCGTAGCGCCACCGTCCTGACGTCAGGACAGTGTTCAAATCTGGATCAGTTTTTATCAGATCCGTTGCAGCCCCTTTTTTAGAGATTTGGGTATGGAGGAAAATAGAGAGGGTTGTGTTTTCTGACACTTGGTGAGTTCCCTGGAACACCGGGGACACATATTCATGTACAAAAGACGTACAAAAGTGCATTTTGCATGATAGGTCCCCTTTAAGTAAACCATTGTAATCAGATAAAAAAATATCACCAGCGTTTATTTTTCCCTCATTTGCATTTTAAGGGGTCCTTTCCAAATAGCTAGAGAGCAGATGGAAACATTTGAAGAGAATGGGGGATAACAGAAAGATCTGCTTTAATCTGATAGCATTGCAGTTGTGTGCAAATCTTCCAATGATGACAGCAAACATGTAACGCATCTCTTCGCTGCCTTCTTCTACCCACAGTGCAACGGGCAGAGAGGTATTCGACTGGATCCTGGACCAAGGCTACTACTCAGAGCGAGACACCAGCAACGTGGTGCGCCAGGTGCTGGAGGCCGTGGCCTACCTCCACTCCATGCACATCGTCCACAGAAACCTCAAGGTAACACGCTACAGGACGCCATCACTGAGGAGGCATCTTACTGTTAAACCAAGAAATACAGCTGTAATGTTCTCCAAGAATTTCATCTTTTAATCTCTTTTTACCCCCAAAATGCTTAAAAGTGATCAAAATGCTAACCAGCCACACAAGAACAGAAAGTGCGCTTGATTAAAGACGATAAAGGAGTTCAAGATGAAGAAGACGGTTTAAATATGATTACAATTGAAGGCAAAAGTTCAATTAGCTTTTCCACCTCATAACCTCTTGAATGACCCTGTATGAGACTGTACGTTCAAACCAACCCATGCATTTTGTAATGGCTATACAATAAAATTGGGCATTTAGCTTCAGTCCAATCGTAATAAAATCCCAAACTTAAACTGAACACATCCCATTTCATTTCATTTAATCTGCTCTGAATAATTAAACTCTTGATGTTTTCAGTCTATTATTTGTCAGACAATTATCGAAAAACTGAATTCCCACCTCCTAATTGTCACTAAATCAAAACCATGAAATAAAAGAGCTTATTCATGAATATTACATAAAGCATTGACATTGAAATGTGCTTTTTCGGTAGTTGGAGAACTTGGTGTACTTCAATCGCCTGAAGCACTCTAAAATAGTCATCAGTGACTTCCATCTTGCCAAGCTGGAGAACGGACTCATCAAAGACCCCTGCGGGACACCAGAGTACCTGGGTGAGAATGGAAACACACCAAATATCAAATACCAGTTTGTGGATAATGTGATCTGGCAGCCTGTTGAGGCTTTCAGAGATGTAAAAGATGTTTCTGTACTCTCATGCAGCTCCAGAAGTGGTTGGCAGACAGCGGTATGGCCAACCTGTGGACTGCTGGGCAACAGGTGTCATCATGTACATACTGTGAGTTGTGACATAAAACCTAAAGAACATCTACACCTCATTTAAAAAGCCAACCAAATTCAGATTGGTTGACCCTAACCCCAACTGCATTCGAAATTTACATTTGTAACAGCAGAAAAGAGCAAAAGACAGTTTTTATTGAGATTTCAAAATCAGAAGATTGCAATAGCATTGCAGACAGCTTAAAGGTGGGGTAGGTAAGTTTGAGAAACCGGCTCGAGATACACTTTTTGTTATATTTCATGGAATAACATCTTAACATCCTGATAGCAATGAATATCTTAAGTGCTTTGACAAAAAATCCATAAAAAAATGTCATCTGTGGAAGCCGTAGTACTGTAAAAAGTACGACCAATCATTTTAGCCGGCCCGGCTAAAATAACTGGATGGCCTACCTGCCTGTCAGCCTTCCATCTGTGCACAAACTTATCTCGTGCCCTCATTGGTCATGTGCGCGTTCGTGTGTGTTGGAGGAGGGGCTCTGTAAGGAAGTGGCAGATTTTTTCCGGCTGTGTATTTTCAAATTCTAGCGCACTCGAGCTGGTTTCTCCAAAATTACCTACCCCACCTTTAATGTTTAACAAGAAGTACGCATACAAAACTAAAGAAATATTAAAGAATTTTTAAAGAATTACACAATTTACAAAATACACAGCCTGTAACAGTTCTGAATATGTAGCAGCCATATTGCACAGTTATTCACGGAATATATATATTGCACATATTGCACATGATTGGTATTTAACAACAAGGAATACAATAGAAGAAATAGTTACCATTGTAAATTGAATTGGTTACACCAGGGGTTTTCAAAGTGTGGGAAGGTGAGCCTCCCCTCAGAGAACATAAGAACAGCCGCGCCCCCCCTCCCAATTATTATTGCTATTATTATTATTATTATGGTTGTTGTTGCTATAATGCAGGGGTATTCAATTGCATTTCAAAGAGGTCCAGTAGGAGAAAATGTCATTACATGCTCTGTTTTCGCTGTCTACCTTTCTCTTTTTTGAGCACGCCATTTAAAATGACTCAGACTGTTTCTCTCTTCTTGTCTCGTCTCTGTGTTTGAATCTATCGTGCTGACTCACTGACTGCACCGATTTGATTGGCTGAGTAGCGTCACCTCCTTAAAACATTAAACAATCACTTTTTTAAACATTTTTAAAAAACATTTTCAACATCGTGGATAAATCCTTATATGCTCCCGGCAACACACTGAACGTCAACTTTGCCTCCTTATTACACTCACCCCTACTTTAGTGGGAACAATGAGTCTGCGTCTTTGATGCGCACAGGCGGATGATGCGGGGATGCAATGTAGACAGGAATAAACGCAGATCATCCTCTGGCTGAAGTCTTGACCGGTACTTGCTTTTTATCAAAGTAATTATTCAAATTAAAATAAAGGGCGGTGCCGGTCGTCAGCGAACCGAGCCGTTCTGTGATTCTCCAGAACACACAGATGGCCAGTCCGCCCCTGCCAGGACCGGTCCATGAAAATCCTAGCTTCAAATAATCGTGGTCATACTTCCTCCGTTTTCTGCCAGACGCTGTCTCCTCTCTCACTTTAGGTAACTTCACTAAAAATCGATCCATGTTGCCGCTCACATAAAGTTAGCTGAAGTTAACTAGCTAGATTTCACTGTTTTTCGTTATTTTTTTCTCACGCTGCGCCTCCCCTGAAGCTCTCTGGCGCCCCCCCGGGGAGGCGCGCCTCACACTTTGAAAACTGCTGGCTTACACTAAGACAACAAAAGTACTTTGTAAGTTTCTAAAAGACCATGGGTTCGCACAAAATCTGTTGACTTTTGGACTGCATTGGTAGATTAGAACTACATTTGTTATGCTTCAAAAGACGCAATCCAGAAAAAAAATACAATGAATAACCTGAATGAAAAGTAGTAGAAAAAATGCAGTTTCAATGTCTGGGAGTGTAACATTTTCATGTAATATAACATACTGTTACAGGCCTTGTTTATATTTAGTATGTTTGTGCTTTTTTCTCTGCCAAGACTGTCAGGCAACCCTCCTTTCTACGATGAAACTGACGACGATGATTTTGAAAACCACGACAAGAACCTGTTCCGAAAGATCCTGGCCGGCGATTATGAGTTTGACTCTCCGTACTGGGATGAAATCTCAGATTCAGGTGCTTTTAGGACAAAGTTAACACTAAAGAAACACAATGACAGCCCTTTCAAAATCCAAATACTGTTCTTCCTTTCTTTCCCCTAGAGTGGCCAAACACATGTCATGTTTCTGTCCTTAAGGAAAACAATCCCTTTTTGTTGAGTTTTTCTGTGTTTTCTCTCCGACAGCTAAAAGTCTGGTTGCTCGTTTGATGGAAGTGGATCAAGACCAGAGACTGACAGCCCAGGAGGCTATAAACCATGAATGGTAGGCACAAGAGCTTTGATGTATTGTGCAGACCATTTAAACCCAAGCAGTTTCATCATGTGATCAGAACAGCTGAAAAGACAGACTTTCCTTCCTGTTTGATGTCTCTCTTACAATAACATAAAGAATTACTTCACCCTAAAAAGGCTTATCACTAACGAGAACAGCATTGATTAAGCTGCAAGTTACCACCGAAACGATATTGATGTTTTACTCAACAATAAACCAAAGCAGTAAGTCTCTAAATATAGAAATGTCTGGAAAATCTGAATCAAATATTGGAGGGATAAGCAAAAAGTTAAGCACGGAGATTCACGTTTCCCAGGCAAGTTACTCTACTGATTTAGGTGATCCAATGACTCCAATGACTGCAGTCCCATTAGACTTGGTACAGAAATTCACGTTTGCCAATAGGGGCATTAGTAATCAAATTAAATGATGTTAAAAAAAAGATCCCTCTACCTTTTATCTAGCGCCATCATCAGGGCACTTGTGTCCACTACTTTGATTTATGACAAAATATCCAATATGACATTCCTATAACATAAAGTGTCATAAACCTAACCCTAACCCTAACACATTGCTACATCTTGATACTGATTCAAATCAGAAAATGTTAACTTTCATATTCAGGAAGTCATTTTCTCATAGACTTCTATAGAATCAGACTTGCAACCAATATAATCACCCCTTCTGGCCATTGTAAATAATGCAGGTTTAAGGCCCATCCACATTGGCTTCACTTTTCAGACTTGGAGACTAAATCCACTTATGTTATACACTACTCTATGATTTATGGCCACCGGAGAAATGTGAGCCCAATATTCATCTCTTTTGGCTCAGGTTTTGGTCCATACCAACTCCTGAGGGAAATATGTGTCTCTTTAGCTGCTTAATGCTCCACTCAGTTCACCAGCTAGAACTGTGTGTGTCAGCAGTTTGCAGCTGACAGGTGGTGTACCGTGGGTTTATAGAGCTTCTAATGTCCGGCAGTGGCTCAGTCAGTAGGGGCTTGGACTGTGAGCCGTAGGGTTGCCGGTTCTAGTAGTGGGGACTGCTACTTGGAGAGGTCCCAGTTCACCTCCTGCCCTGCCGTGGTGCCCTTGAGCAAGGCACCGGACACCCCCCTTCCCCCTCACTCCCATTGCTCCCCGGGCGCTGTACAATAGCTGCCTGCTCCTGGTACTAGACTCCTAGTAATAGACTCCTGGTACTAGACTCCTAGTAATAGACTCCTGGTACTAGACTCCTGGTACATTCTCCTAGTAATAGACTCCTGGTACTAGACTCCTGGTACTAGACTCCTGGTACTAGACTCCTAGTAATATACTCCTGGTACTAGACTCCTGGTGCTAGACTCCTTGTAATAGACTCCTGGTACTAGACTCCTGGTACTAGACTCCTGGTACTAGACTCCTGGTACTAGACTCCTAGTACTAGACTCCTGGTACTAGACTCCTGGTACTAGACTCCTAGTAATAGACTCCTGGTGCTAGACTCCTAGTACTAGACTCCTGGTACTAGACTCCTGGTACTAGACTCCTAGTAATATACTCCTGGTACTAGACTCCTGGTGCTAGACTCCTTGTAATAGACTCCTGGTACTAGACTCCTGGTACTAGACTCCTGGTACTAGACTCCTAGTAATAGACTCCTGGTACTAGACTCCTGGTACTAGACTCCTAGTACTAGACTCCTGGTACTAGACTCCTAGTAATAGACTCCTGGTACTAGACTCCTGGTACTAGACTCCTAGTAATAGACTCCTGGTACTAGACTCCTAGTACTAGACTCCTGGTACTAGACTCCTGGTACTAGACTCCTGGTACTAGACTCCTAGTACTAGACTCCTGGTACTAGACTCCTAGTAATAGACTCCTGGTACTAGACTCCTAGTACTAGACTCCTGGTACTAGACTCCTAGTAATAGACTCCTGGTACTAGACTCCTGGTACTAGACTCCTAGTACTAGACTCCTGGTACTAGACTCCTGGTACTAGACTCCTAGTACTAGACTCCTGGTACTAGGATGGGTTAAATGCAGAGAACAAATGTCACTGCGTGTGCTGTGTGCTCTGCATGTGTGACCATTAAAGAGGGTTTCATCCCTCCGATTCTATCTATCTTTTCTTTGGCTGAAAACAGCTGCCTATTGATGGTACTGGCTATAAAGCTCTGTTAACCTGAGGGAATCTGAGGATTCAACTGATCATTCTCTGTAGGCAGATCATTTCAAGCAAGCCCTTTTCCCTTTGTCACAGTGTTTTCACATTTTCATGATATATTATGGTATTGTAAAGTTTTGGTAGTTACTAAACCAAGTATTATTGGGTTAAAATGCTTGCATGAAATACTTTCATCAATCACTTAGACGTGTCTGACAGAGGCAGTTCCCGCTAAGTATAAACTGTGGACACCAATCGATTTGTAACAAGAACAAAGACAAGGAGAAAATGTCTCAGTTGGAATAACCCTTAAAAAGTTCAAAAGTTTGCCAGTCAACAAAAAACAAATTGAGTAATACTGTGCTGCAGCCAGGGGCATCTAAGGGTAGGATAGAAAGTAAAGTTGTGCTTTTCCCATTTTCCCAACAGGATCTCTGGCGGTGCGGCTTCAGACAAGAACATCAAGGAAAACGTGTGTGCACAAATAGAGAAGAACTTTGCCAGGGCTAAATGGAAGGTAAGTCGCTGCTCCTCCTGGCGTTTCATCAGAAAAACCTTCACAGAGCTCTTTGAATTGTTTTTATCTTTGCCATTTTTTCTATCTAACTATTTGGGCTAATATGAGCACCAATCAGGCGATCCAAGTACGACGTTAAAAGTCACACACTCAGGCAGCATCATGCAGGGTCTGCTCGGCTAATCTGCTCCAACAAACAGGCTTTTTGGTTTTTGTTATGATAGTTTTCATCAGAAAGACACTGCTAAAAGAAAGCCTTTCCTCCAATTTCTATAATGACGTCACGAAATATTAGAAATCAAAGTGCTTGGAGTTGCAGCACAAATACAGCAGAAAGATCAGTAAAAGAAGCTCGATGCCACGTTTTTTCACCAGGCTGCCACAAGTGACGCCCATAGCCGCGTTCACACCAAGTACTTTCCTGTACTTAGTTCCGGCACTAAGAGCCCCGGCGCTTTTAACCCCAGGGCACTTAGTACAGATCGCGTTCACACCGGAGTACTTTTCCCTGAGGGAAGATTACGCAAATGAGCCGCTGACGTCACTTCTTCTTCTTCTGCGTTGGCTTTACTGGCAGGCCACAAACCACTTCACGGCGAGTACAGTACAAACAAACAATTGAAAAGAGGCGCTGGTGCTCAGAAAAACTGGATTATGTGGTCATAACAGTTCAGGCAGTCCAGTAAGAGTTGCTGTGCTCCATGCTGATTTTTCAGGTTACATAATAATAATCAATTTGATTTATAAGCGCACTGTTTCATTTGAGTAAACAAAACTCAAAGTGCATCACATATTTGAACGTGGTTTGTTCTCCCTCAACAGAAAGCAGTGCGTGTCACCACCATCATGAAGAGGCTGAGAGCACCTGAGCAGAGCGACTCGAGGGCCGCCAGCCCCTCTGCTGCTGCCCCTCCAGACACCGCCGCTGCTCCCCAACCTGCCAGCGATCCCTCTGCTGCTCCCCAACCTGCCAGCAACCCCTCTGCTGCTCCAGCCGCTGCAGCCCCCCCCGAGGGAGCGCCTGCTGTCGTCACAGAGCTCCCTGCTGGGGCGGAGATAAGCCAACCGGCGCCGGAGGAGGCCGCCTCAGGCGGGGAGCCGCAGCAGCCGAGGCCGGCGCCGCAGGAGGCCGAGCCGACATCGCGCTGTAATGGAGAAGCTGCTCTCAACACAGCCACCGAGGGCGGGGACGAGCAGGGTTAGAGACCCCCCCCCCCACTGCGAAACCCCACCCCTTCCTATGTGACCTTTGCAGTCCCCACCACTGTACATTAGCTGCTAGCATGGTGACACTGACTCTGCTTCTCCCTCACTTGCAGCATTAGTATCATCTCATGGAGGCTGTGTGCTACCTTTCCCCGAGTGCCGCTTTCTTTTTACACTTATTGTGTCTTTTTTTCAATGACCCCCTCCGGTATTTTACATCAGATTAAATTAAACACTTCTATCTTCTATCACACATGAGTTTTAGGGACAGAAACAGATTTTCCGTCAAGCTGCGTCTTACAGCTAAAGTCTTCTTTCTTATTCCTCTCTTAAGAGATAAGAGAATATAGGAAAGGCATAATTGTGCTGAATACGGCTTTGATTCCTTTTTAATGAGCCGACTTGGGAAACTTCTCTGCGCCAGTCTTGCAATTACAGTATTTGTTCTTAGAATCAGTAGAAAAGTTTTGCTTCGGAAATGTTGACCTTGTACCGTGATACTCAGTAAGTGCTGGTCCTCTCGCATGGAGAAGATCACATATTCCTGTCACAGAGGGAATATGGTAATCTTTCCAATCTGTTATTGTCCACACTAACCAGTTATTGTGCGTCAAACAATGCTGGGATTGGTGACTGGGAGCAGGGGCGCCGCCAGGGATTTTGGGCCCCATGAAAAGATAATCACATTGGTTACTTGTGTTTTTCGTAATGTTCTAAATTTGTTTGGGCCCCTGTCAGTCACGGGCCCTTAGAATCGTCCTAACTTTTCACCCCCTTACGGCGCCCCTGACTGGGAGTTATTATGCCCGTTATTGTATTTTGAACTAGGCAGCTTCTCACATAAGCACACACGAAAACACTATGTTCCTTTGCTTACTTCCTGCTCAGGAAAGAACCTCATAGCTGTAAGTGTAAAGATTCTGTATATAGAGACCTTGGTAGAAGTAGCCAAAACAGCATGCATTCTCACTTTTTTGCTGTTTCATTTCACATTTACAGCCACTTGGTGGTTAAAGATGCGCTGCCGCCAAATGTATCGCAGGCCAGAGCACCCACGCCTTTTGCCACAAGCCATGCCGAGGCTACTTTAAAAAGCACACTATATATTATGTTGTCTGTCACCACTGTTCATTTAGCACCCCCTGTTGTCAATGTAAGTAGTATGAAACTGAAAAAGTCTTCATTACATAGCAGTTCGATGCATCCAAATGAATTTGTAGCTTTTCCTTTTTTAGAAACGTCATGACATCGTTATTCATCACGCGACTACAAATGTATTTTTCTTTGCTAGATCTCAGTTTACTTGTATGTATTTTGTATTTGATTGTGTCCTTTGTGATTAGACACTGACGAAAGGCGCCACATATGTCTTAATATTTGGTTGTAACTGTAAAGCAAAGTGTGCATTGAATGACCACATGCAGCTTTTAAAGGGAAAACATGCATCATTTTAGATTTGTGGTAACTTAAGGGTCAACTCACCATCTTTGCTGACCTGTATTGTACTGAAATAATTATGAATCATATGTTTCACATTTCTGAACACTTTTTTAAAATGCCATATCTGCTTTCTTTTTTTCGCTCTTTCATTCATGTTTGTTCCATAGATGTTTCTCCTTATACTTGATTAACAGTAATAACAATATTTCTTTTCTTGTCGCTGGTCCCCTCGAGTATAAATAATGAGCTACAGAAAAAGAGTTCTCTGTAATCACTCTAGAGGAAATTGAGCAATATTCGAATGGCTGCAGAAACTGTGATTCCTGGTGTCCTTTCGATACAGTCCATGTCCCTGTAAGTAAAAGTCTATAGTCCTTTTGCCGGCTGTCAGGCCCATCATGGCCGCCTAACTAACGCATGTCTGCTGCTGTCAGATAAGTGGTGGTTCAGTGTGTGTGTTAGCACGAGACTAATGTGGGGACTCACACACTGAACCATGGGGTTTTAATTCGCTGGTCACAAAAAGACAGCAGTCAAAAAGGTAAAAAAGATTATAAATTGATCAAATTAAATATGTTTCGGCTCGTGCACGGCCACTGTCTTAATCCACTCAATCTGTTGTTGACTGTAAACACCTGTGAAGTTATATTAAAATGATGATATTTATAATCTGTAGAATCTAAGGTTTGACTCTGTTCAGCGCAGAGTCTTTTATTTATACATGTTATCTCTTTGATTTGCTCTATAGATTGGTTGAAATGCCAATCATTCAGATTATATCGCTACATTATTTCTTACATTGTTGAAGATAAATATTTAGATTTTAACGAGAGACAAAATATCTGATTTGTATGTGAATAAATTATATCATGTAGTCCGTTCTCTTTGTTTAGATGGCAAATAAATACTGTTTGAACACTGTAACACAGTTTAAAGCAATGCTTTCTTTTCTGCAATACATTTCTCACTGTATTTATTAAAAACCATGTTTGTTCATTTGGCCACGCACTTACAGGTGTATTTGTAGATGTGATGTTTGCCAGGACCGGCGGTCACCTGCAGGTCCTGTCCTGCATCTGTGAGCTCTGTACCGTACTCATTGTACTGAGTTGATGACTTTGATGGTAATAAAATTCTAATTCATCTGTTTACTCATCTCTTATCATCATTTATCTTCTAGATCAGGGGTGTCTCAAATACACAGTGGGCCAAAATTAAAAAATGGGTACTAGTCGAGGGCCGGACTGGTTCAATGTTTATTGCAGAACTTATTGAAATTAACTTATTGCACATATTCAACCTGGAACTAACAAAGCTTAAATTATTGCCTATAAAAACAACATTAAACATTAAAGGTGGGGTAGGTAAGTTTGAGAAACCGGCTCGAGATACACTTTTTGTTATATTCCATGGAATGCTCTTAACATCCCGATAGCAATGAATATCTTAAGTGCTTTGACAAAAAATCCATAAAAAATGTAATCTGTGGAAGCTGTAATACTGTAAAAAGTACGACCAATTATTTTAGCCGGCCCGGCTAAAATAACTGGATGGCCTACCTGCCTGTCAGCCTTCCATCTGTGCACAAATTTATCTCGTGCCCTCATTGGTCATGTGCGCGTTCGTGTGTGTTGGAGGAGGGGCTCTGTAAGGAAGTGGCAGATTTTCTCCGGTTGTGTATTTTCAAATTCTAGCGATCTCAAGCTGGTTTCTCAAACTTACCTACCCTACCTTTAAATAATCAGTTGCATTCATTTCTTATGGCTCTATCTGCAGAGTAATTTCTTATGATTACATTTCTCCACAGGCCAACAACAGCTTCAAAAAAACTATTTCCCTCAAAGAAAAAAACAAACATGCCCTGTTGTCGTGAGAGAAAAAGTGCAGAAGGAAACATCCATTAAACTCAGTGTGCTGCTCTGTGATGCTAGTTCAAGCCAGATACTTGGCATCTCATCTTGGGTGCAAGTTCATCAATGTTTGGGGTCAGGCTCTGAGCTGAGGAGACCCTCAGGATTGAGTGAAGGTGTGCGTGCAATATACCGGCGGGCCAGATCTAATAGTAATTAAAAATTATCCTGCGGGCCGAAATTAAATCCACCAAGGGCCTGATTTGGCACCCGGGCCTTGAGTTTGACACGTGTGTTCTAGATAGACAGGCAGTGAGCTGAAGGTGAATAGAATCTATGAAAAAGAAAAAAAGCTGAATTATTACCATTTCTTTAAATCTTAGTTCAAGTAATTGGGATCATATCAATCATATTTTATTTATATGTTTTACAACATTTCCCTTGTGGAGGACATCAGCTCAATCTTTCCCACAAACACTGCATTGAGTTGGTAAAAATAAAATACATTTTCTTATATATTCTTTCTCATTTGATGAGTTTTGGAAACACAAATAAAACATGTTTTGCTGGATTATGGAACATGGTTGACAATGAGTTCCAACTTTCCCCTACAAAGTACATGCGTTAAAATGTGCATTATGAAAGGCTTGAAGTAAACCTTTAAAATGTTAAGATAATACAGCTAACACTGTAACTAAAAACAACATACTTTAAGGGAGCAGGAACAATACATATTTATAGATGGGATCACTTACAGTATGCAGTGCAATTCCCAATTAAAAAGATGGAAGACGTCCGCACCGCGATGTGTGTTACATCATTAGAAAGTCCAGAATGTTCTCTTTACAGTACATTAAGACTTAAACAAACGGCATGCATGGAAATGTAGGCCTCGGTGTCATGTCCCCCACAGAGGACAACAAAAGGAAAGCCATGTCTCATGCGACTGCTGAAGATCTGCAGGATTATTCAGAGAGAATGTGGGAAACAGCCTGTGTCATTTCACTCATTTCCCTCTAACCCGGAGGAGAGCATCTGTGTTACACACTCTCAATTAGCACAAGCTTAGCAGCCTTCCTGGTGGGGTGTGACCTCGTGTTCGGAAAATCCCAGCAGTGCCATTTGGTGACACTTTCCGAGATACTCGAATTGCATGTTGTTGGAATAATAATGCAGAGAGCTCACTCTCTAGGCCCTCTGGGGTTTCAATAGGCTTCCTCTCTGGAGTTCTTCTCTTTTTCATGCCCATTGTACAAAGGTATGCAGCCATCCATACTGTACACTCATCGGGGCTCAGGGGGATCCTAACACCGGCTCTGTGTAGTTGGATGACTTCATTAAGACTGGTAGGGTGGGAGAAGTGTTTCCTGTCTCTCTCAACAGGCAATCAAAGGATGAAAGACTACTGATCAGATTCTGTCCTTGGAGGAAAGGAAAGTTTACTGAATATTATCTTTTCTTGGCAAAACCACATTTAGAATACATACTAACTAAACTAATTAGCAAAGACAGTTACATAGATACAAGAGCTACATGGAGTGTTACCTACACAGATACTTTGGTACAAAGTCGTAGGTAAAATACGCAAACATGACAGTAAGAACAGCAGGTAGGGAGGCTAACGTTACCCTGAGGACTCAAAACTAATGTAGTCTTGTTGCTCCAGGGACGATAAAATATGTAGTTGGGATGACACACCATCGACGCA